AAAGAGAGGATCCTGGGTGAGATAGGCAAACTTAATTCCCAGAAAAACTCAGCAGAGGGACAGAATACGGCCCTGACAAAAAGCACCATTTTAGTATCTAAATCTGGATAAACAAATCAAAGGAAACACGAACTTTTATACCCACATGTGTGGACATGATTTTACATATATGTGTAGACATATGTACATATATACATACACAGACATAAACCTAAACACACATTCAAATATATATATACCTAAACAAACAATCATATATATATACACACACACACATACATATACATATACATATACATCATATACATATACATATACATATACATATACATATATTCTATAAACTCCCTCATAAGGAAAAAGGGAGATGTGGAGGTTGGGGGGGGAGGGTAAGGGAAATAATAAAGAAGAGGGAATAGTTGTAAGCAAAACAAATTGCTGAAGGAGAGATGAGAAGGAAAAAAAAAAAGAAAGAACCAGAATCTGAGTCAGGTGCCCATCAATTGGGGAATGGATGAACAAATTTTAGCATATGAATGTAATGAATTTTTTTTGCATAGGAAGAACTGACGAGTGATAATTTTAGAGAATTTTGGCAATAAAAAATTGATTCATAATAAAGTGAGTAGAACTGGCAGAATAATTTATTGAAGGACAATATAATCAAATATAATCAAAGCAATGACTGACAATGTCTCCAAAGGCTCTATGACAGAGCATGTTACATGTCTCCTGATGGAGGAGGGATGGGCTTGAGTCAGAAAGAGACATGTGTTTTTGGATATGGCCACTCTATAGATTAATTTTGCTTGAATATTCTTATTTATTATTTTTTTTCTCCTTTCAGTTTTAACTTGGACATGTTGTGAGGAAAGGGAAGTTAGAAAGAGTGACAAAAAAAGGAGGGATATTGAAGCATTTTTTTTAAGTGCACAGAAAGAAAGAAGGAATTTCAGAAAAGTATAGACAAGAAGGATAGTTTTGAAGGTAATTATGGAATTTATTATGTACTATTAAATTTTTAAAGTAAGTACTCTGAAATGGAGAGTCATAGCTTTATATATAAATCTTTTTCCATTCTGTTGTATATATGGTATTACTGTACTTTGATGTTAATATCCAGACTGAAAACTAAATTTTAAAACTTTCTTTTTTTAAAATCAATACTCACACTTTTTCCAAGTACCTAAATGGTTTGTTTCCTTACCTCCCCACAAAAGCCCATTTGAGAGAAAATATTCTAAGAAAGGAAGATGACCTCATTTCATTCCTCAATTAATATAGAAAATTATTTTAGTGATTTGGAAATATGATATAATAAAGATAAAAAAAACTCCTTGTCCATTCATATAAAAAAAAAAACCTGTCACTTTTTTCCCACTGACTTTTCAACAGAAAACATTTGATTTTCATGAGAATATATTAAATGATGGAGCATGTATTATAGAGAATTTCAGTTTGTTTGATGATGGCAATAATAACTTTTATTATGTTTATACATTAATGCACAAGGAAGTTCATAACTTTACAGGCACTTTACATATTCTGATGTATCATTTTTCAATGAATCTGTTATGGCATCTCCTCTGTGAGAAACCAATAAGGCTCTTCAATTATTCCCAATGCCATAGAACCTTCTTTGAATCATAGAATACACCCTTTCCAAGGCTCAGCCCAGATGTATGTTCTCATCAAAATTATGTTATTAGCCAAGATCTGGTTGCTACAAACCAGAATTTTGTCATTGCTTTTGTGTAAAGACAAATCTATCTTTTATAGCAAAGCCAGAAAACAATTTAGCAATCACAAGGAAGAAATTTAACTCTCTGTACACTGCCAAATGAGAATTGGTAAATTTGCATAAAAGATCTGTGCCATTCTCAGAGTGATGCATTGTTTATAAGTTCATTTCAAAATGATACTGCACCTGTTCTCTCACAAAGCTGTGTGATGGGAAACGATCACATATATTTTATCACAGACAATGACAACTCCGTGCAACAGAGATCACTCCACCCCCCAAAAAAGAATTCAAGATCACATAGAACCTAGAACACCTAAAACACTGGCTAGTTAATTCTCATAAAATAATCTCTTTTCATAAGGATACTCCCTTGCAAATTTGGCCTACTTGTGTTATTTTTTTTAAGCCAGCTATCTCATTTCATTGCTTGTTTGGCTCACTAAACCAAGTTGAAGAAGGTTTGTGGTTGCAAAATTTTTTCATATTCTATATCCCTGTATGGCCTCACAGGATGAAGGGTCAAGAATGACTGACCCTAAAATCTCAGTTCTTTTAGTCAAAGCAAATAATAATAGATTTCACATTCATATAGCAGTTTCATTTTTTATAAAACATACCCCTCTCCTCCAAAATTGTGGAAAAAAAGGCTAAATGCCTTATTATGTCCATTTTACAGGTGAGGAAAGTAGGCTCAAAAAGATTAGATAGCTTACTCATGGTCACATAGATAGTAAGTGCCAGAGCTGAGGTTCCAATCAAGGCTTCTTGACTCTAACCCTAATATTCTTTCCATTATATCTAGTAGCAGGGTAAGTATCTGTTCTAAAATTACTATTTTTCAGTTTTTTGTTTCATATTAACTCTTTAAAATTACAGATAAAATGACAAATGCTGGTTTGAATATTTCAGACCTCTTGTTCTAATCATTTTGCTTTTATTACTTATATTACCTTGCAGCATAACATGTTGTATAAACACAAAATTTCATAAACATGTGTGCATATGTATATATACATGTATACACCTATATATACATACATGTATTATATATACATATACTTATACATATTCCCTATATAGATAAATACACTATATACATGTAAATATGTGTATATATATTGTATATTTACATATATATTTATTGTAGGTCCCTAAATTTATCTGCAAGTTAGGCTTCAGATTGGTGCTACTAATCCCTACAGATTTCTAGAGGCAACCCTGAAGTGAGTTCTAATACCATTTCTCATGAGCCTCCATGTAATGTCTTCTTGAATGTAACTGAATTAGTTTTCATCTCTATAATTGCAGTTAGCATGAATTAACATTGACAGAGTAATATATACTGATAAGGTATGGCAAGGACCAAAGTACCACAATATCTCCACAATATTTGGTTAAAGATTCTTTCACAAGGAAATAGAGTAGAGGGGAAAGTAAGCATAAGCTAAGAAAGTATATTTAGCAAATGGGTATCTCATAGCTTCTAGATGAATAGACATTCTTTTCTCCTTTCCTGGGGTTTTCACGAATTCCCCTTCCTTGCTGCGCCGAATTCAGCCTCTCTCAGCTCCCAAGTGGATGTGTTACTCATTATTTTCATAGTATCTCCAATAATATTGGCAATGAGGGTGAGGTAGAAGCAATCCTCACCCCCATCATCACTTGCAGCTTTCTGGGCCTAACATCTCCCCTTAAACTCTAAAGATATTTCTTATAGTTCTGAGATATCAAATAGGACATCTCATTAGAGTTGTCCTAAGGATCAGTCAAGATCGTTGTTATCAGTGTATGGCATCAGTGCAACCAAATAGTTGAGCTACATCTAAGTGATTTTAGAAGAATTGTATATACTATTACTCTTTGTCTCTTTTTCAGCGGATGGTGCCACAGGAACATCTGGATTTCCTTTGTGCTGAAGGCAGTGTCTGGGTTTGTTGTTTGCTGAAGGAAAGTTCAGTCTGATTTTTCCATGGTCTGGTCCATGACTTAGGTATCAAGACGAAACAATTCTGCCTGGTTCTATCCTGTCTTCATCAATGTGTTCTGAACACAGATTTTGGTAGGGTCTTGTGTGTGGTTACAGGTCAAACTGCAAGTATTTAACAAAATTCCTATACATGGAAATTGACACACACTAAAGGGCATTTTCCCTCCTCACTGCCAGCTTATTTAGGATCTGGAGTAGTGCAGATTATTGGAGCAAAATCCATCTTCCAATGTAATTCCAGAAATGTAATTATGGATATTCAGTTAAGAATAGCTTAGAGAAAGATGGGTGCCAATGATTTCTGGGGCCAGAGGAATATAGCATATTCATCAGCTTTATAGTCCCCTGATCAATCTTGAATTAACCTTTTTTTTGTCTGTATGCAAATATAGCCTTCATTTTATATTTAGTCCCCTTCATTCCCATCTTCCTCCTATCTTTCCGAAAATTCTTTCTTCCATCAGTATATATGGGGACAACTCCTGTTGAATAGTACTGAAAGTCTCTTGGGAAGGAAATCCTTAAACATGGATGAATAAATGGAAAATTTGTATGATTTAATCATAACTCATTTATGTTTTATTATAAGTCTATCCTTGAGATCTGTGCTGTTGAACCACTTTATAACTGTCTTTTAAATACATCAGTAATGAAATTCTCTTGGGAGGGATTTAAGATAGATTCATCTCATTTTGAAGAATATTAATATAAAACTTCATTTTTTCCTAAGATTTCTCTCACCATTTCATTTAGTAATGCACTCTCAGCTTATCATACTCAATGTGTTATGTTGTCAGAAATTACAGAAAATAACACCATCCGCAGTTAACCTCTCAGATATTACAGAACCATGACTACTATTTAGCAATCCAAATACAAGAACATGCAGGGAAGGTTTAATTTTTCTTTAGGGAATAAAAACTGTTTGGAAAGGCCTAACCAGTAGAACTATTATTCTCTGAAATAAAATATTCAGTAAGAAATTGCAATCTAAAAGGTATAAAAAATATAAAACTAGCTACATAAAACTGCAAGTAATCAGTCCAGTTCCAAAACAAGGCAGATGGAAATATGCTAGATAACTCTATGAGTTTGAGTCATGTAAGTGAATAAAGTACAAGTGAGTTAAGTATATGTTGTTGTTGCTGCTTTATTGCAACAGTAGCCTAGACACATCAAACACAAGCAAATTCAGAAGCCAAGGTTGATTTGGAGTAACTGTAGGAATAGCTTTTTAAAGTATCAAAGAGATAAGTTATGAGTTCTTACCCATGAATTCGATCCCCAAGTGGTCTGCTATACCAATGCAAGCATATAAGAAGGAACGGAAAAGAGAGAGAGAGAAAAGAAGTGGTTAGAAGTGAATCATATAAAACAAACAAACAAAAAAAAACTGTAAGTATTAACCATCTAGAACAGGTAGGATATTAAATTACTAACCATAATACTCATCACAAGAGAGATATACTTAAGATTTAGACACAATAATATGGAGCCCTGGTCTAACTCAGTCATTCGTATACACCTTAGGGCTCAAGAGGGTATTTGGAAGTACTCTGAAAAATACAGTAAATATAGAATAACCATAAGAAAACAATCATAACATCAAAACACTGGTCGTCTCCAATAAGGTATTTATAAACAATAATATATAAAAAAACACTTCTTTTACATAAACCTGTCCGCACACATATACACATACGCACAGTTTGGAGAAAGACAGATGGCTTTGGAGTCATGAAAGCTTGCATTCAAGCCTTGCCTTTGACGTATTCTACTCAAATTAGCAAGGACAAATTACTTTATCAGTGTGCTTAGGCAACTCTCTGACACTGTAAGTTACATACTAGCCTGCTAACCCTCATTGTTGCACTGTAAATTCCCCACGGTTTTGATATATCAGACTTGGGGAAAAAAAAGTTTTGACTATGCCTGTGTATGTGCCCATGTGTGCATGTGTGTATACACATACACACACAAGTGAGATAACTAGTTTGGTATCATAGGTTTAGAGTTAGACTTGGAGTTAAGAAGACTTCGATTCAAGTACTGCCTTTGAGTCTTCTTTGTTGTGCTACGTGTGAAAATTACTTCAGTTCTCTAAGCCTCAGAAAACTCTCTAAGATTTTAAGTCACAGATCTGTGTCTCTGTGTATATTTATAAATAGAAAGCTACCAGTCTACTTGGATCCTTTCAGCTGGGTAGGACCTATCAGAGACTGTGGAAAGAGTAATGCCCTTCAATAAATCAAGGTTATCTTTATGCCAGTTTCATTAAAAGATAATTATTCCATGTAATTAGTATATGATTGCAGACTTCTCTTGGCACATGTATGCTGTCTATGTAATATTTAGCTGCCTGAATGAGCTGATTCATATCATGAGGACCAACATTAGTAGGAAGTGCATAATATCATTGATCTACAGGTATAGCGGACCTCAGGGCTCATCGAATCCAACTCTCTTATTTACAAATGTATTGCAGTGATTCCATCCTAAAGTCAAATACACTCTCCTCTACTTGCTATTGAACGCCCTTTAACATCTGCTTCCAAACTACTTTTTTAGTCTTCTTGTACTCATCTTCACAGTTCAATGATCTAACCAAGTTGGCCTTGCTCTTCCCCGTATTCAACATTTCATCATCTGTTTTCATTAGCACAGGCTAATCTCAATGTCTGTTATAGACTACCTTCTCATCTCTGTTTCTTATAATTCCTAGCTTCCTGCAAAGTACAGGTAAAATACCACCACCTATGTGAGGTTTTCCTTGCTGGTTCTCCTAGAAGAGAATCTTCCTTCAGTCAAAAAGTCATCTTCTACTTATTTTATATAAATGTTGTACATTATTTACAGATGTGCATGTTGCCACTCCCAAAAGAAAGTAAGGTCCCTGAGGACAGAGGTTATTTTATTTTTGTCTTTAAATCCCCAGTGCCTTGTGCCTTTTCTGGTACATAGTAGGTCTTTAAAATAGTATGGAAGTTAGCACTTGTATGGCACTTTGAGGTTTGCAAAATGCTTTAAAAATATTGTCTCACAATAACCTTGGGAGGCAGGTTCCATTATCATCCCCATTTTACAGATTGGAGGAACTGAAATAGAGCTGAAATGACTTGCCCAGAGTCACACAACTTGTAAATGTCTGAGGTTGATTTAACAAAGGTCTTTCTGACTTCAGGTCCATCATTCCCTTCCCTGCATCAACCTATGCTTGTTGATTGATTAGTTGTTGAGAGATTGATTGAGAAAACTGAGGCCTACTACTCTTTTAATATTTCATCAAGGCTAGATAATAGGATCATAAATAAAGAACTGGAAGGAAACTCAGGAACAATTTATTATAACCTTTTCATTTTTTAGATGAATAAACTAAGGTCCAGATATGTTAAGTGAATTGCCCAAAGCCACACAGGTAGTATCAGAGGTAGAATTTGAATCCAGTTTCTCTGGCTCCAGAGGTTGTGTTCTTTCCACTATGTAAGAAAAGTCATAGGAGAGATGGCACATAGTAGGTTCTAAATAATTTTTTTTACTGCTTGATTGTTCAATTGATTGAAATGGAGTAGTCATCTTCTGTGAGCATCTCAAGGGATCATAAAAGGTCTGCTTGAAGCCTATGCTGCAGCTGAGTGAAGCCAAGGCAAAAGGACTACTTTTGGCCAAATGTCGCCTGCTGCTGCAGATGTGATGCTCTCAAAAAACTCAGATTGTCAAGACTCACATGCCTGAAAACTATTCACAGAAATGGTAAATTTGATCAATTTCAAACCAATTTGAATACTTTAAACTATAATCAACTTGTGTCAAGGGTAATGAATGTCAAGAAAAAATCTGATGTGACCAAACACATAATTTTTAAATTATTCAAAAGCAAAAAGAGAAGGAATAGAAAAGTTAAAGAGGAAAAAAAAAGCTGTCATCTCTTATCATCACAGAAAGAAGCATCTAAATTACAAAAGTTATAATTCTTGGGACTGTGGCTAGGAGAAAAAAGATTGATAATCTTCATTTACTATAGAGAAAAACAACTAGAAATTAGTTATTTGTGGAAACTGACTCAGCCAGGATAGATTCACACACATAAATAGGCAAATCACATTTAAAAGAATTAGACCACATTTCATTATCTGTTCTGTGTAAAATTTAGGACACTCTTGGCACTTAAATATACAATGATAATAATAATAACAATCCTATTAATGGGTGTGATGATAGAACCAATTAAAAGAATAACTCCTGCATTTTATAGGTCATGGCTTTGAAGTTTTATCCTTACTCTTTTCATTCCACCCAAATTTGCTTTTTTGCTAGTTATGTTTTTTTTTAGATAGAAGTTATTGTATTTTAAGAAAAGTGAGGAAATAAACATTTGAGCAATTTTAACAGCACTATTATTAAAATAATAGTGAGAGGCAACATGATGTACTAGATGGGGAACTGGCTTCAAGGCTAGGAAAACCTTGGTTCAGGTCTTTCCTCTGATGTATATTGGAAGTTTGATGTTGAGCTAGTCATTTTTCTTCTCAGTGCTCTAGGCAACTCTAAGAATATAAGTTGCAAAGAAGATGTCATTCTACATTGATAGATGGACTTTCCTCATCCAGGAGTTCTCTCCTGGATTGGATTGCAAATCCAATCTCTCTCCCTATTACTAGGAGTAATTATAATCAATAACATTATTTTATCTTTAATTCTATAAATATTAATATATTATCAATATTGATACTTCATGATTTATACTATTTCACTTAAAATATAATCTCTGCCTCAGATAATGAATGAGTTCATTTGCAAGGAAGGTCAAGAATCATTGGATTTAAGAAAGAAATAAATCTAAGCCAAGTCAGTGTTGAAAAAAAGTTGCTCTTCTGAAAATTGGGCCATCTAGATAGCACAAACAACAAGGATTTCCATCAGTCACCTGCTGTCTGATGCCATATAAAAGAAGTAATCTGTCTGTGTGGCATGTAGATCTGCATTGAATTGCTGGGAAGAAATCTGTGAGGGCAAGATATGGGACCTAGGCAAGATAAAGCTTCTTTGGCATTAAAATCCAATGTCCTGTTGTATGAGATCTCTTATGGTCATTGTGGCAACATATTTTTCTTTTGTAACTTTGCTTAAGATGATGTTAGATTAATTGAGACCCTACTCATTTGGAAAATGTTGGGTCAAAATATTTGAAATAAGGAACACCTCATTAATGTTATGGTGCAAAGAGATTCAAGGAAAGGCTGACTGCTTAATCACTGATAATATAAATTCCAGTAGGCACTATAGAAGCTTCATCCATTCATTCATTATGATGTTTTGAGTTAGAAGGGGATTAAACAAATAGCTAGTCCTATTTCCTTCATTTATAGATGAGCAACTTAGGTCTACAACAGTAAGTGTCTTACCCAGTACCATAAAGTTAGTAAGGGCTAAATCTTGGATTCAAATGTGGATCTCCTATTTCCAAATTCAGGACTCTTCCTAATACATGATGGTGTTATTATTAGTAAGAGCCAGACCACTCTCCATGTTCTTGCTATGGGTGGCTGAGTCACAGACCAGAATGCTGATCATGAAAGGGCAGCTAGGTGGTACAGTAGATAGAGAAACAGCCCTGGAGTCAGGAGAACCTGAGTTCAAATCTGGCCTCAGACACTTGACACTTCCTAGCTGTGTGACCCTGGACAAGTCACCCCACTGCCTAGCCAAAAAAACAACAACAACAAAAAAAAGAATGCTGGCCATGGTGTTGACTCACCTCAACTCTCGGGTATTTTCTAACTAAGTAATGAGGACTTCAAAGTTGAAAAATTAGGGATTCTTATTTAGTACAATTACAGATCATCAGGTGCATCCTTTGAAAGATTTTTGTTGTTATTGTTGTTTTGTTTTTGTTTCTGTCAGCATTGTTGTATTTATTAGAATTCACTACTTTGAGGAAATATTCTTAGAGGACAGTTTATGATAGGAGTCAATGATGTAAGGATCCCTGTTCCTGCAATATCTAAGGTCTAGTCTTTTGTTTCTATATTGGTGAATTCTTATGCCTTTCCTGAGCCTGAAGCAATTGCCTTACATCCAGGAAAGAAGAATCATCTTTTCTAATTTCTAAAAGAAATTAAAATTCTTTATTGGGGACTTACTAATTTGAGTCAACACTCTTTCTACTGTACCGTTGCACTTAAAGAAAGAGATCATAAGTCCTAGTGAACACTAAATACGTAGGATGTCCTATTGTACTCTATGAACATATTTACAACAGAATTTATATAGACATTCCTCAAGACAATGAGCCAAAT